GCACCACAGGGGCTCCAAGGCTGTCAGTCTTGATGGGAGCAAAGCCCAAACCACACCCACTGGAAGCAAAGCCCAAACCAAGGTCACTGCCATTGACTTGACTTGACTCATAGCGACCCCTGCTTGGGTTTCTGAGGCGGTATCGCTACGGAAGTAGATTGCCCAACCTTCCTTCCGGGAGTGGCTGGTGGGTTTGAACCGCCAGCCTCTGGTTAGCAGTCACGTGACTTAGGCACTATGTCACCAGAGCTCCTTCCCAGTGTTAGTTCCTGGAATTTGAACTGACTTTACCTTGGCCGGGTTCCTTTGGGAACCGGTTGGGTTACCCAAGGAGCCTTGGTGGCGCAGGGTTAAGCACTCAGCTGTTAGCCAAAAAGGTCAGTAATTCCATCCGACCAGCCACAGGTGAAAGATGTGGCTGTGTGTTCCCATAGAGATTATTGTTGATGTGTGAGGAGTTCCTGAGTCAGCCCCGACTCACAGTGACCCCGTGGACAACAGAACAAAACCCTGTCTGGTCCTGCGTCAGCCTCACAATCCCTGCTGTGCTTGAGCCATCATTGCCGCCACGGTGTCCGTCCGTCTCACTGAGGGTCTTTCTCTCTTTCTCTGACTCTCCGCTCCACCTCACCAAGCATGACATCCTTCTCCAGGGAATGGTCCCCTCTGACAACGTGGCCAAAGTAGGTGAGACATTCTGGCCATTCTTGCTTCTAAGAAGCATTCCAGCTGCACTTCTTCCGGGACAGATTTGTTCATTCTTCTGTGCAGTCCATAAAAATTATGGCCTTAGGAACCCTGTGGGGGCACTTTTTTTTTTTTTTTCCTAATTGTGATTTGGGTGAAAATTTACAGAGTAAATTCACTTTCCATACAGCAGTACACATACACTTTGTCTCATGACATTGACCACAATTTACCACAATGCAACAGCTCCCCTCCCACTTCCTCCTGACAGTCACCTCTTCCCTGTGTCCTTCCCTTCATGCAGCCCTGCCCCGGAGCTGTCTCCCTGTGCATACACAGCCCTTCTTTCATGATTGTTCTCTCCAAGGAGTGTATCTACCCCAGGCAAATGTTCAAGTCATATGCTTATCTTTTGTTTCTCTGGAAGCCACTGGTGTGGGTTCAATTCCAGACCTGAAAGGCAGCTAGGGGCCATAGTCTCAGTGGTTCCACCAGGCTCTATCAGACCAGCAAACCTGGTCCCACCCTTTTTTTTTTCTACAAATGATTTTGAGTTCTGTTCCACATTGTTCTCCCTCTCTATCCAGGATCTCCTACATAGATCCCCTTCCAAGTGGTTAACAGTGGTAGCCGGGCACCATATAGTTCTTCTGGTCTCATAGTCATATAGGCTGCAGATCGCATGGTGTACCAGTCACTAGGACTAATTGTTTCCATGCATTTTTGTTTTTCTTCATTCTTCTTTGTTCTGGGTGAGGCAAGACCCATCATTGCATCTAGATGGCAGCTTGTAAGCTTTTAAGATCCTAGTCTCTACTCACTAAAGTAAGAGGTGGAATAATGTTTTGTGTAGTGTTGTGACAATTGAGCTTGATGTCCCCTGTGACTATGGTCCCGAGCCCACAGGTTCAACTATTCAGTCCCTCTGGGTAGCTGACTGTGACCAAGCAGTGACCACAACCTTGCCCCTTGTCAGTTCTACTATACACCTCGGAATTCTCACAGAACATACAAATAAAATTATAGGGCCATTGTCTGCCAACCCTATATATGTTGTTGGGTACACTCCTGTGGGAACACTTTTACTGTCCCATAGAGTTGCTAGGAGTTGGAATCACCTGTAAGGCAATGGGTGTGGCTTTCCAAGCGTGGATTACTTCTCCTGTGATTCACTCCTGGGGGAGCAATGTCTTCCTCCCAATTGGCTGGAAGTCGTGCCATTCACTTCATTCTCCCTCTGAGTTCTCCACTCTCTTCTCTAGGGATTGTCTTGGATGTAACGTTCACTTTCCTATTGGCCCCAACTCTAGTCCGTTGTGCTCAGAGCTCCCTATGGATTGGTCCCTTTCACAGAAGCCCCACCCCTTTGCCTAATGACTGGCTCCTGAAGACAGTGCTGTCTTCCCCATTGGCCAGAAATGGAGCCATTTCCATCGATGACCTTTCTGTGAAAGCCGATCTTTCTGAACTGTTCCGTAGAGACAATGTTCTCTTTCCATGAAGAAAGTCACTTGTCTGTTGGCGTCAGCTCTGTATGTAACTAACTGGCTTCGAGCTCTCATCACCATTGGCCAAGAATCCAGGAGGCCTTAGCTCTGTCCTCTCCACATAATCGCCACTCTTCTCCCCCTAGATGGAACCGAAGAGAGCATTCTCTTCCCCGATTGGCCAGGATTTGAGCCAATGTGGAAGCCCCAACTCCCTCTCCCTTCTCCCTCCTCCCTCCTTCCTCCCCTCTCCTCCCTCCTCCCTCTCCCCCCTCCTCCCTCACCTTCTCCCTCTCATTTGTCCCAGGAAACAATGCTCTTATCGCCATTGGGTGAAGGGGAGCGATTATGCTAGACACCTGACCATAAATGCTGCCTACAGCAGGGAAATGAACCTTGTGGGCCACTTAGAATTCCTCTCACCTTCCCCTTACAGGGCGATTCTGGGGGCCCGCTGGTGTGTAGAGGTGTCCTCCAGGGCATCACATCCTGGGGTTCAGACCCCTGTGGGCAGCCCAAGAGACCTGGTGTCTACACCAACATCTGCCGCTACCTGGACTGGATCAAGAAGACCGTCGGAAACAGAGGCTGATCCTCCAAGAGTCCTAGATTGCCCTCAATAAACTAGTAACCCCAACCTGGCTCCTTGCCTGTCTGGCTGGCTATGCGAGGGAGGGTGGTTGGAGGGAAAGATTTAACGGGAGCCTGGAGGGACAAGGGTTTGGGAAGCGATCCCTACTGCCTGGAGAGAATCCTTCTTTTCCTGTAAAGGCTGCATACATAAGAACACAATAAATATCTGTATAGTTGAAATATTTACAAACGAACACCCATGAAACTCCCACCCAGATCAAGAAATAGAGCGCTGGCCAAAATCAACACCCAACCCACTGCCATCCAGGCGATTTCGACTCAGAGACCCTATAGGACGGAGTAGAGCTGCCCTAGAGGGTTTCCAAAGGCTGTCATCTTTATGGGAAGGAGATCGGTGGTGGAGTGGTTAAATGCTCGCCTGCTAACTGAAAGGTCGCTGGTTGGAAACCACCAGCCACTCCACAGGAGAAAGATGAAACAGTCTCTTCCACAAAGATTTACAGCCTTGAAGACCCAATAGGGGTCGACATGGGTCAGAATCGACGGCAGTGGGTTTTGTTTTGTTTTGTGGGTGCGGGGGGACCAGGTTCAATTTCTGAGCAATGCACCTCACCCACAGCTACCACCTGTGGGTGGAGGTTTCCATGGTGCTGTGACGTTGAACAGGTTTCAATGGAGCTTCCAGACTGAGACAGACTAGTCAAACTTCGCCCAAAAATCAGCCAGTGAAAACCATCTGGGTCACAACGGTTCAGTCCACAGCAGACCACAGGGCTGTCATAGGACCAGGAAGCATACTGTTGCATCATGCTTAAGGTCGCCATGAACTGAGGGTTAATTTCGCAGCAGTTGACAAAACAACAATAGTCTGAGAGACAGGTTATGTTTCTTGAGACAAATCGGAATCTTTCTCACGGTGTAAAGCTGTCTAGGGTTCCTTCTGTGGTGGGAAAGTGTGAACATCCCATTGTTGCTGGTATCCACAGTGAATGACGCTTGATACCCATTGAGTGGAGGAAAGTACATTCTTGGGAGTTTTCATGGGAGCAGGGGCTGAATGCACGTTGTCTTGGAAAAGGCATTGTGTGGAGAGGGGCAGTTATTGTGAGCATATAAATAAACTGAAACAGAAGTCTGGTTTCTGATAGAGACTGGCTCCTCCTATGTATGTCTCTTCACTCTTCGTGTCTGTTGCTTCCTCTCTACTGCCAACCATCAGACTCATTTCTTTGACTCTACAACTCCATTCTCTAATTCATGATTTTGCATTCTCATAGTTTTTGCTTCTTCATGAGCTACTTCAGCCTCTCTCCCTAATGCACCCCTTTTCAACTTCGTCTCCCACTCCCAACTGCTACACTCATCCAAGATTTCTCAAATTATAGTGTCAGGAAAGAGAATCTGATTGGCCCAGCTCATCTTTTCTCCTTCAGTCATAGGTCACGGAAAGGCCAATGATTTGATGGCATTCTGGTCAGGTGACCAGCCCTATCCAATCAGTGGGTACTTGGAGTCATGTGCTATGAAACCTGGTGGCCTGGATCTGTGGGCAGGGTGATTTCCCAGAAGTGGTACAAGTGCGAGAGAAGTCTTCCAGGCATCACCCTCTCTCAGATCCTCAAGGGACACCACAAACCAAAATAGTTGTTTGATACTTTTGTGAGTGTGGAATATTTCAAACGTATGCACAACAGAGAAAATAGTACAATGGATCTCCTGTAGCATCATCGCACAACTTCAAGAATTAAGGAGCCAAGATAATCTTGTCTCACCGGCGGGCACCACGCTTCATATCCCACGTTCCCCCCAAACTGGAGTATTTTGAAGCAAATCTCATTCATTCTTTTCATTCTGTTATCTCTAAAACAGGGGTCACCAAACTGCCATTGGTGGGCCAAATCCCTCAAGCTGATTTTTGCAGGTAAATGTTTGCAATTGAGTGGATGATAAGAAGCACTAATTTTGAACTCTAATTAAGCAAGATATTATCCCCTAAAAAAAC